GAAAAAATTAGGTTAGGATTTAGGGCCAGAGAAATTCTCTCTGGTCTTTGAGAGTTAGGACAAGTTTATTATATGGTTGAATTCGTCTTGAAAAATGCTACAACTTTGGTGTTATGTGTTTTTGCATTAGAGCACGTATGCAGGATCTGACATTGTGTACAAGGCGCGCGCGTTTTTTGAAACAAGAGGTTGAAGATGAAGTCAGTGGGCTGGGCTTGTTTCTGGCTTTGTTTTTGACACCTCTTTTACTGATTGCATCCCCCTGGCCCATTTCTTCATATTTTTGTATTTTTTCATTTTATTTTCATTTCTGATTTTATTTTACTATTTTCTAAACATAAAAAATACCAAAATATTTTTATAAATTTTCATATTTTATTTTTTATTTTATTTTATTTTTCTAACATAAAAATAATTTAATTAGTATGTACTTTTATTTTATTTAATACAAACTTGAAAATAATACATTAAACATTATACTTTTATTTTTTATTATTTATACTTAAATAATATTTTTTCTAAATATATTTTATTTTGGTATATACATTATTTTATTTTATTGTACATAAAATATATACATATATATTTACCTTCTTAAAAGAAAATTAGGGTTTTTTGCCCTTAAATAAAAAAAAATCTTTTTATTTCTTTTTTACATTAAATATTATATTTTTACATACATAAAAATAAACAAAACATTTTTTGCATATTCATAATATTTTGCATATTTGTTTAATTTATTCATTTAAATATTATTCATTTATTATTTGTATCAATTATTCAATTTGGATGTAATAGTAAATATTAGGGTTTTATTTTCTTGCAAATATCCTCCATTCAAAAATTATATCCCCCTTCCCATATCAAATGTTGTAATAGTGTAGATTTATTTTACGCATTTATGCTTTCAATTATGCCATGATTAGAGATTAGGGTTTGTATGCAAAAAATCCAAAGTTAAACAAATAGCTTGACTAATATGAAAACAAAAATGCATGAAAATAATAACACAATGCACACTTGCACCCCTAGGGTTTCATCCACTTGTTGCCTTTAAAAAAAGGTCATGTTATGCATGTTGAGTATCTTGGCAAAACAAAAACAAAACAAAAGATCATAGTCCCTCGATGACGCTATCCTGGTTGCCTATACAAAATGATCTAGTCCCTCGGAAAATTTGCTAAAAATACTTAGCACAATTGCTATCATGGTCCATACGATGACCCGCGCCTGTCCCGTTTAACATCCTAATACAAGGTTGTTTACCAAATGCAATGGTAAAACAACACTGTCAAAAGGGTTAAAAATGTGTAGGAAATACCTTTGAGTAAAATAGGGTAGACAACTCTTAGTTACTTGATCAAAACTTGCAAAACATCCTTGCTATTTTCAAACGCACCTCACAACACAATTTCAAAACATTTCCCAAATCAAACTTTCAAAATATTGAAATATATTTTCAAAAGACAAACACCTTTGTATATATTCAAACAAGAATCATTACAAAGGTTGCCACAACGATGGTCTCTTTTCAAAATATTTTCAAAAACCACACACACAAAGCACTATTTCAAACAATTGAAAAGCAAAAGCAAGTGATCTAAACAAGTAACTAAGAGCCCATGGATAACCATGAATGAAAAGGGTACTTGCACCTTCCCTTTTCATAATCTACTCCCCGAACCCAAGAAAACATCTCAAAGGTCTTTCCTGTGCTTTTTGATCTTTCCTTTGGATAAAATAAAAAGTCGGTGGCGACTCTTGCTAAACTAAAACATTTGCGAACACAAACGCAAAACCTCAAGTCAGTTCTCCCACTGTATCACAGTATGAAAGACTAAGAAATTTTCTTTTAGTAAATGATTTTACCAGGGGAAAGGTTGATACTACTTTGTTTTGTAAGACATCCAAAGATGACATTTTAGTAGTTCAAATATATGTTGATGATATTATATTTGATTCTTCTAATGTTACCTTGTGCAAGGAGTTTTCTAAGTCTATGCAGGATGAGTTTAAGATGAGTTTGATGGAAGAACTCAAGTTCTTTATGGGAATCCAGATTAACCAAAGTCCATAAGGGACATTTATCCATCAGAGCAGGTACATCAAATAACTTCTGAAGAAGTTTGATATGTCATAATACAAGACATCCAAGACTCCGATGCATTTTACGTGTATTATGGAGAAGGATGGGATAAATAATAAGGTAGATCAGAAGGTATACAAAGGTATGATGGGATCTCTCTTATACTTAACTGCTTCTAGACTAGACATTTTATTCAGTTTCTTCTTATGTGCTCGCTTTCAATCAGATCTTAGAGAATCATACTTAACAATTATTAAAAGGATCTTTGGGTATCTGAGAGGTACTACTAACCTTGGCTTGTGTTATAGAAAATCAAAAGAGTACAAGTTAGTAAGTTATTGTGATGCTGACTACGCTAGATATAGACTAAATAGAAAAAGCAATTCTGAAAGTTGTCAGTTTCTGGGAGATAATTTGATCTCATGGTCCAAGAAGAGACAATTAAAAATTACTATGTCAATAACAAAAGTTGAGTATATTGCAGCTTCTGGATGCAACACTCAAATCCTCTAGATTAAAATCCACCTAGAATACTTTCAAATATATGAGAGTAACGTTCTTATTCTCTGCGATAATACTTATGTTATATGTTTATCTAAGAATCTCATTTTACATTCTAGAGCTAAGCATATTTGAGATTAAACATCACTTTATATAAGACTATATTAAGAAGGAAATTTTAAATCTAAAATTCATTGACATGGACCATCAATGAGATGATATCTTTACATAACCCCTTGCTGAAGATAGATTTGTTTTCATTATAAAAAAAAGTTTAAAATAGTGCTTTGCCCGGAATGAAAAATATGGAAATCTCATAATGGTTGTTTCTCAGAATAATAAAGTGAGACTATGGGATTTTGTGAGTTTCTGAAATTTGAGTCTTCTGAAGTGTGAAGGTCTCGTGTATCAGATCTTCTCATGCATTACGGGAAAGAAGATTTGTATTACTAAAGATATTGTTGCAAAACTTCTTAACCATGATGGATCTGGTAAAAGGTGTTACGGAATTCCCTCAATTTAATAAAATTTTACTGAGATTGCTGTTGCAATCTTTCAAGATGGAAATGGCTCTCGTCATACTAAGCATCTTCACGACAATCTTAGAATATGGTTCAAAATTATTCTGGGTTGCATGCATCACAAATCTTCAGTCAACTCTTCAGATTATGTCAACATTGATCAAAAGTATATGTTGTTCTACATTTCTTCTGGAATCAAGTTGAATCTGCCAGCAATACTCTTTAAGTATTTGACTGAGATTGTCAAGGAAACAAGAGATCGTAGTGAAGGTAAGAAAAATACATAAGAAGAGGGTTGAATTGTATATCTGATAACTTTTTCTTTTCAGAATAGGATAAAAAATTATCCACAACGGGTAGGGTAAAAACCCGAAAAATGAGTACGGACGCGGATAATTTACCTATTAAAATAAGCGGGTATGAGTAAGAGTACGAGCATCTTAGTATCCAACCCGCCTCATACTCGCAATGTTTATATTTATATATTTTGATTTATATCATCATATAAAAAATGTATGTCTATATCTTTAAAAAATGCATCACAATTAAACTATTATATATTTGATGTCCATGTAGATATGGGCTCGATTACAGGAATTTTTTTTAATTAAGGGTATAGAGACGGGTACTATAATATCCTGCCAATATCCTATCCATTGGCATCCCTAAGAGCAACACACTTATTTTACACATTAATATTAAAAAGATATTAAAATTTGAGCTTTTGATCAGATACGTGTTTTTTGTTTCTTGATGAAGTTCATGATATTTGATCTTTGTTGCATCATCATGAGAAATGTTACTTCATATTGTTTGATAAATATTCATTCTTTGGTGATGTTCATGATATTTTATCTTTGTTGTATCATCATCGAAACATATATGAACATAGAATCATAGGTTAGTCCTAAGAGAAAGAGCTATGAACGAACAAATAAAAAGATAGTTGAGCAAGTAGTTGAAAAAAAAGTGAAAATATGAGAAGAAGAAAAAAAGTCGAGAGAAAATTGTGAGCAGAGAATAAAAAAATTAAGAAAAAAGAGTTTCAACTTACACAAAATTACCTTATCCTCGTTTGAAGAAAAAAGATGGAAAAAAAATCGTTCAAGAAGTCAATGACATCTATGAAGAATCATATAGACACTACAATAAATGAAACATCTTTATCCTTAGAGAGTAAGTGCTACTGACCTCTACGTTAACATCTTGAACATCTTAGTCCATAACACTTTAGATATAAGGAGTCAGGTTCGATTTTGACACCACATATTTAATCAAAATCTTAAAATAATGAGTATATGTGCATTTTTCTTATATATCAAACAATTTCTCCCTTATAGTTGATCTGAATCTTAACAAGTCACACTCAAATTTCAATATAAAACAGTTAGGAAGATAAAAATGTATAGATGTGGAATTGATAACCTTTAGTTCTTCTTATACCATATTGGGAGAAATATTTGAATATTCATCTTAATCTTTAATTGATTTTGGAATAAATTCATATGAATGATTACAATGGAAATGACTATCTTACATAACCATAAAAAAATTGAAAAAAGAGAATAACTGAAAATTAAGAAATCAAGCAACCAATTCAACCCAAAAACAGTTAGAATGACTACTCTATCTAACTTAGTCAACATCCTGACTTGGTCAACTAAACTAAGGTAAACTACAAATTTATTTAAATAAAAAAAGCAAAGTGATAACTTAATCTGATAATCTTAATCAACTGAAAGAAAAAGACACCATTTTTCTTAATATATAGTGGCAAATCTAGAGTTATCGTGTAGAGAACCTCATTTTCACTTTCAATTATACACAAAAGCATAATTGAAAAATTATGCTAGCTAGGGAGAGAACTTGTGTAAAAGATAGTTATAAGATTATCATGATTTCAATTGTGTCCCTCCCATTTCCATGGCTTCCAAGGTTGGGCTGAGATAACTGAAAGGCGTGACTGCATCACCATTTATCCTTGGTACTCGAGTTGCGACTGTCCTGTCATCCATGGCTTGTATAGCGGGCGATTCTCGATTCAAATTTGCATTGCCTCTTGATTCCTCCATAGCAACAAAATATGCATATGGACCCCATCCTGAAAATAACCAAAGTCAAAATTACAACAACAAAAGAACTTGGAGAATAAATAACTTTGGTTGGAGTGAAGACAAGTATCTAATATGTGTAACAATGAGATGTGACAGGGCACATTTCTTTTTTATGTAGATTGCTACATTTATTAAGATTACAACCTTAGACCAAATCAACAACCAAAGAATGAGACAAGACAATGACATAGTATTCTTAAAATTAAATAATTGAATATGAACAACATTTGAGATGCTGCTGGAAAACATAGAGATGTTACCATCATCATTATAGGGGGGCGGAAAGAACTGCGAATAGCAAAATGTTGCGATAAAAAGGCCTGAAAGATAATACAAGAGTACTAATATTAGTTTCGATTTTAATTTGTTTTTTCTAAATGATTTCTGATTTTTAATAACAAACCTAGAAGGCCTCCAGCAAATACATCTTGCCAGTGGTGCCAATAGTCGTCCACTCTAGAGATTCCAACCAGACAGGCAGCAAGTAGAGGAAAAAACACAATGCATAACTTTGCCACGTGCCCTTTACGATCAAAGACTTTAACCTTCCCGGATAGATACAAGGAGAGAAAACCAAGACCTGCAAAGGACCCTGCCAAACAAAATTTATCAGACTAAAGAACCATGTCTAATAAAAATACAATTGCCATCAGATTCAACCTATCTACATAATAAAATGCATTGTAAGTACCACTTGCTCAAACTAACTCAAGTGATGTCTGATCGTATGTTTGAAATCACATTGAATTTGACAAAATCATGGTAGCACTAGCTCTGCGATTTTGTTAAAACTCAAAAGTGTTGGTTTTTTCCAAAATCATGGCAGCTCAATGTAGTTCTGCCAAACTCATAGTCGATCCAAGTATGCATCGACTAACAATAAGAAAAATATGGTTGCTCACATGATGTATGGCCGCTAGGGAAACTCTTATGTCCTTCTTTTATATCACTAGCCTTGCCATGGCAAATCACACCTCCCAAGTTATCATACACCTATATGTTTAATCAAACAAAGAGTTAGTGACCGCTTTGCTAGAAACATAAGCTCGCGTCCTCATCATAAACAAAACCGTCAAGTCAATGACAATATATAAAGAATAAGAAAAAAAAAACACACACACACACAACCAATCAAGTTAATTAATGCCAACAAATGATATGATACTTAAATTTCTATTACCTGTATTCCATCAGGAAAGCAACGCCAAAAGAAGTCCGGCCGAGGCCGGCCAACAGCATCTTTAATTGAATCAGTCAACACACCAGTTATCAGAACAGCAAACAGAAGGCCTGTTATGTAACAATGAAGTACATTAACAAAAAAAAGTTCACCAATTCTTCAACATAAACTGTCATTTAAGGTATATAATAATCTGCAACTACAAAGGTTACCAAGAACACTGTGGTGCAAATCATAAACATCTCTCCTACGCATATAGACGAACAGGAACACAGATATTGGCAACAGAACCGCATAAAGCTGATCATTAACAAAAGAAAGAAAACATTAATTACAATCACTCGCATCGCTCGTGTCAAACATTATCTGTTAAAAAATTTTACACAAAACACAAGACAATTAGAAATTTGATTGCTGTGTAGATAAAAATAACTTCAAAAACAGACAATAACTAATGTCCCTTGATATGCAAGCAACCTAGAGTAATCAAACTTACAGGAACAGCCCATACAGGGACAGTGTTTTCTTTCATTGGATACATAAGATCTTCCATCATATCCCTTCCAACGAAGCGGCGAAACGGATGAATTACATTGAGAATAACCTCAATTAATATAAGAAGCACCAATATAAGCCAATCATGAATATGATTTCTAGCAAGTGTGGCTCCATGAGACTTTATTGTATGTGCAGTAGGATCAATCTGTCTCCCTCCCTGCTTCCACAAAACAACCAATACAAATTTCCGAGTTTAACCGACATACACTAACAGTTTAAAATTTTTACACTGTCATCCAATAAAAATCATTACTCGCCCGTATCATATCACTAACTTCAAAGTATCAGTTTGATTTAGCAGAATACACTATACTTTTAATGGTAGGGTAAAATTATTTTACAGTAACTAACTAACTAACCAAAATATAACATGTAATAATAATTAATACTCAATAAATAAGAACAATATGAACAATATGAACAAAATGAACACTTAGGGCAAGTTTTTGCAGTTATGTTTTCATGAATTTGTTGATAAAGGGAAATTGAAAGGAAAGAAAAATAGAGAGAGAAGTTGAAGAAACCTGAAAGAATGTCCAAAATCTAGGAAAAGACAAGAAACTCCCTAACGCCATGTGAAGGAATTTTCAGAGTCGCCAAAATCTGAAAATTGTTTATGAACAGAAAATAAAGTGAATGAGGAATTATGGAAATAAAGTGTGAAATTTTTTAGAAATTGTGTGAAATGGAATTGCTATGTTACCTTTGAAATGACTCCAAACTAGTAATCCTGTAGAATGAGATTTTTTATTTTTTATAAGTGGAAAGAGATATATTGAATATTTTCCGAAAATTTGAAATATAAATCAGAAAAACCGTTTTTGTGTGTATTTATGAAGAAGAAAACGAAGAAGTTTTCGCTTTGAAATGTAGTGGTTTGCAGCGGGGTGGGTGGTTAATTTTTTGTATTCAATTACATGCATGAAACTTAATGCATTATTAACACTAACATGTGATTTCTATTTAAAAAAATTAAATTTAAAATAAATTTAAAATTATCTTTTAAAATAATAATAAATATATATTTTTGTCTTTCTCATTTAAATAATTCTTACTATATACTATTTTTTCACCACTTAAAATAGAGGATTGTATTTTCTGATGATGCTAGTGAAGATGAATATTTGGTGATTTATAATTGGATATAGCCACCAAGTTTGAATAGATAAATTACATTGTAGAACTAGCAAAGTTTCTATTGGCTAGAAAGATTATTTATTAAAAGTCTTCATAGATTATTTATTAAAAGTCTTCATTGTATGGAGTAGATGAGATGTCAACATTGTCTATTAGCATGAGGGGGTCCATCCATATTATATATGTGACCGCACGTTGCATAGTTTTTAGTCTCATTTTCTTTACAACATTAATAACACCTCAGATTTTACTAATTTAAAAATCATCAATATTATTTTAACATTTACTATACAATTTTTTAAATTTTACTTAACAACATCAAACATTATATATATCCGGTTTTGAAAAAATGCCACAAAGGAAAATTATCGGGACGAGTCGCGTACCATGTCGCTTTCTTTAAGACGTTTCGTCGTACTGACAATAGTTATGCAAAGCAGTCGAGTTTCGACTACGTCTCCAGGATAAAACAGCTCGTTCAGAAATACGATTATTACTTGCACTGTAATAAATCTTTCAAAGAATTACACCTTTGGGTCGTATAAAACCAGTCATAGTATCTGAAAATTTCCAATCGAAAAACAGAAAAAGATGTTGTAGATGAAGCAGAGTATAGAGAGAGAGAGAGAGAGAATTCAAATTGTAAATTCTGGGATATATCAAATGAACCGAAAAATTAAATTTATAGGCAAAGAGTCCAACTGAATGGAACAAGTATCGTGGGAGATAGTGGAATCGGTCCAGTCAAATGTAGCCATTATTTCACTTGGTCAGCAAGTCACACATACACGTATGACTCTTGGAGGGCAAGCATAACCAGTCAAAGAATAGGTTAAGACTTGGTTTCTGTGCAGGACACGTCACCATTTTGTAATTAATTAATATTAATATTAATTAATTTCTTATTTTTAATTTCCACCGAATTAATTAACTAATGATAATTAATTTCCACTAATTCGGGTTCCAAAAAATTAATTCATCTAGACTGAACTGAATCGAGTCAAGCCGACCGAGCCGGCTGGACGGCGGCGCACACGCGTGATTGTCTAGATGGCTTATGGGTGTGTCCTCACTCCTTTACAAAATTGGGGTGCCCCTTGGGGCCCAACCCAATTGGCCAAGTTGGAATATATATATACACTACTAATATTTGTAATCCCTCCTACGTGGAACTAAAATGAATCCTTTCAAATTCACTTCCATACTAGTTCTTACTTGTACTCATTTATTTCCCATTTAATGTCAATAAAATATTCCAACTCCCACTCCAAATTAACATCATACCAAGATTTCCAACAATCCTCCACTTGAATTTAAAAGGTGATTTTAGAAGTACGTCAAACGTTTCTAAGATTGTGCATAAACAAAGGTGTCTACGACTTGAACCTTTGCATAGCAAGTAGGATTCTGATTAAACAAGAGTGATACTATTGTCTTGAACTTTATCTCAGACATCAGAGCCACACACAACCTTTTCTTAAGGTGTATTCTAATAACTCATGCTTTAATGACCTTGCACGTGTATCCCGGTTTAGTGAAGGCTCTAGGAATTCTGCCTCAAAATTCCATAGGAACCGACCCAAGTTCCACAATCACAAAGGCGAGTCTATCAAGAGTACTCTTGTAGCCTAGGTACTCCCTGATATAGAGTATAGATCTCATTAAGAGCTTCTATTATCTCATCCTCTCATTACTTCAGGGTTCATACTTTACTTGCATGATCATCTCATATTACTCACAACTTGTTATTACCCATTGAACCTATTTCTTGGGATCTCCAGTCATCTAGGTTGGGTTACCATCATGAGCAACTCATTTCTTTATAGGCATTAGTCCCATCTTCTTGGATGTTTTATGGACTTTCTCTCTAGCTAATCCTTTCGTTAAAGGATCTGCTCATTTTTCATCAGTGCGTACATGATCCACTCTTACAGCTCCTTTAGAGATACAGTCTCTGACAATGATGTGCTTTCTTCTTATTTGACGTCTTTTACCATTATAATAACGATTCTCAATTTTTACAATAGCTGCGATACTATCAGTGGATCAACACAGCTGGCATAGGTTTTTCTCATAAAAGGATCTCAGCTAGTAAGTATCTCAACCAACTTGCTTCTTCACTAGCTGTGGCTAGTGCTATCGTCTCAGATTCCATTATGGACTGAGTTAGGATAATTTATTTCTTTGATTTCTAAGATACAGCTCCTCCAGCTATACTAAATATATAACCACTAGTAGCTTGGGAATCATCTGACAAAGTATTCCAATCTGCATCACTGTACTCTTCTAGTACAATAGGAAACTTATGATAATGTAGGCCGAGATCTATGGTCCTTTTGAGGTACCTCATGACTCATTCAATAGCTTGTCAGTGCTCTTTAATCGGTCTACTTGTAAACCTGCATAACAATCCTACGACATATGCAATGTCGGGTCTAGTACAATCAGTGGCATACCTAAGACTGCCAATGATGCTCGCATATTCTGATTGTCTGACACTTTCTCCAGTGTTCTTAAACAATTTCACACTTGGATCATATGGTGTGCATGCAGGTTTACAATCAAAGTATTTATATTTCTTTAAGATCTTCTCCACATAGTGTGATTGATCCAAAGAAATTCCTTGTTCAGATCTCGTGATCTTGATACCAAGGATCACACTTGCTTCTCCGAGGTCTTTCATATCAAAGTTGTTGCACAACAGTGATTTCACATCATTAATAGTCAGAATGTTTGATCTAAATATGAGTAGATCGTCTACATAAAGACATACGATAATGCATATGAGATTCTTAGATTTATAGTAAACGCATTTGTCACTTTCATTCACTTTATACCCATTTGATATCATTAAGTTATCAAATTTTTCATGCCATTGCTTAGGAGCTTGTTTTAGTCCATTCAAAGACTTATCTAACTTATAGACCTTATTTTCTTGTCGATAGATCACAAACCCTTCCGGTTAATCCATATAGATTTCTTCTTCTAAGTCACCATTTAAAAAAGTTGTTTTAACATCCATTTGATGTACTATTAAGTTATAAATAACAACTATTGAAATAAGTACCCTAATGGATGTAATTCTAGTGACAGGAGAAAAGGTGTCGAAGAAATCTATATTTTCTCTTTGTCTAAAACCCTTGGCAACAAGGCGAGCCTTGTATTTATCAATAGTTCCATCAAGTTTTAGTTTCTTTTTCAAAACTCATTTATAACCAATTGGTTTGCAACCAAGAGGCAAGTCTACAAAGTGCCAGGTCTTGTTGGATTCTATATCTCATCATTGATAGCTTCTTGCCATAAATCAGCATCCAGAGATAACAAGGCTTCTTGAAGATTCATTGTATCTTCTTCTACATTATAAGCCGCATAATCAGGCCCATAGTCTTTAGCAACTCTTACTCATTTACTTCGTCGAAGTTCTGTTTCTATATTATCGTTACTTTTTGTGCTTCTTATCACAAGAATGTGACTCGATTGTGTGCCCCCACTATTTCTCAATTTGAAAGGAAATTTGTCTTCATAGAATTCAGCGTCATTTGATTATATTTTCACTTTTTCCTTTAGGTCATACAACCTATATGCTTTACTGTTTGTTGCATATCCAATGAAAACACATTCACATGCTCTACTAGCGAGTTTAACTCGTTTTGGATCCAGAATTATGACATAAGTCAGAGAGCCCCAAGTTCTCAAATAAGACAAGTTTGGTTGTCTTTTCTTTAATATATCATAAGGAGGGATCTTACATTTTGACTTGGGGACTCTATTCAGGACATAGGAAACAGTCAATAAAATTCTCCCCACCAGTGAGGTGCAGCACCAGAATTCATCATAATTGCAACAAAAAGTTCAGTAAGAGTTATATTCTTTCTTTCTGCTTTACCATTCATTTCAGGAGAATATGGAGCAGTCGTTTCATGTACAATTCCATGTTCTTTATAAAAATAATTAAATAGATTAAAGTCATATTCAGTTCCCCTATCACTACGAAGTCTCTTAATCTTCTTACTAAGTTGATTCTCAGTTTCCATTACATACAACTTAAACATATCAAGTGCTTCACTTTTATTCTTCATTAAGTATACATAAGTATAATCAGAACAATCGTCAACAAAAGTGATAAAATAACATTTACTGTTTCTAGTTAAAGTTTCATCTAACTCACATATATTAGAGTGTATAAGATCTAGGGGATCAGATTCTCTTATAATTGATTTATGTGATGTCTTAGTTATTTTAGCTTGACTACAACATTCACATTTATTTAAATCATTGACATTTAATTTAGGGATCAGGCCTAAGTTGCTTGCATTATACATAATTCGCTTATTAATGTGACAAAGTCTAGCATGGAAAATATTAAAATCACGCAAAAAATAAACAGAAGGACAAATTTTATTCAAATCAATATTCAACTTAAACATGCCATCAGTGG